CAATCATAAAGCCAATCACAGTAAGTACTGAATACGTCATATCTTTTGATTAATCGTTCACTACATTAATAACTATGGATATAAACTGTCAAAATGGCGACGATTATCTGGTAATTAGTTCCAAATCACTGAGCCAAGTTCCGTCCAAAACTTCAAATAGGCCTACACGATGACAGACATAACACAACAATTCAGCTAATAATCAGCTAATTAAGTCGGTCAACAGATACACGAAAACAAATTCATGACATATACATGCTAACTCTGCAACAAGAAGTATTGGAATTCAGAAGATGGCTGATTTACCAGTTAAGCGCGTATCTTCTAATGAACCACCATTCACAAGAATGGGTGTTGACCTATTTGGCCCAATTGAAAATAAGAGAAGAAGAAGTGTAGTGAAAAGATATGGAGTAATTTTTACTTGCTTGGCAAATTGTACTGCACATATTGAAATAGCTGAGTAATCGAGTACTGACATCAAAGCATTGAGGCGTTTCATAGCAAGAAGAGGACAGGTGAAGTACATCATATCAGACAATGGAACTAACTTCATCGAAGCCAATAAACAGTTAAAGGAAGAGATAGACAAATGAAATAAAGCAAAGATATCCGGGTTTCTTATACAAAAGGGATTAACTGTAGCTGTAATACGCACCATAAGAAAACTACTGAGATCCATTATGGAACAACAACTGTTAACAGATGAGAGTTTACAGACTTTTATGTGTGAAGTACAATACATAATTAATAGCAGGCCAATCAACAAGCTATTTGATGAAGCTTAAGACATTGAACCACTGACACCTAATATGTTAACAATGAAAGATGTATCTCTCCCACCTAATTTAACAAGAGTTGGCAGAGCCATCTCGATGCTGGGAAAATAAGAGTATTTAAAGGTGTGTTTTGGAGCAATGGATTGGCGAACAGGCAACAAATCACTTTCAAAAACTTTGACTTTGTTTTAATGTTAACTTGAAGTATACATGAGGGTACGTATTATTATTTATTTATTTTGGAAACTCAATTTTTAACTGAAGGAATTAAACTAAATTAAATAATCATGTTAGAAATGACTACTGTTCAACTCCGGACGTTTAATTGTACTTAGCGTATTGACTTAGACAATCAACCAATTCGAGAAAAACGGTCGACAATGACTAAATGCATGGTCACAGCCAAATCGCTGTTTAATTGAAATAAAAAAATCAAAGAAAACAGAGAACTCTAAGACAGGAAGAGAAACACGAGCGATGTATTCGAACAACAGGCATTACGGCAGCCAAGTTCGTTTCACCTCGATCAATGCAGTAATACCCACGATGCACTATTCCCATAAGCGTGGAGCGAAGTTCATAGCCAAGTGTACTGCGGTCAAGAACAAGGTAAGAAATTACATAACGAGACCATCCCGATTTGCCGTTGATTTCCGGGTTCGTTTCATACAAGAAGATCGATACGAACTACACCGCTGAGTGTAGTAGACATAATCCCGATGGCAATAGGAAGTTCGAAGGAAGCTAATACAGTTGATTTATAACAGACGAAGTAAATGGAAATCACTTTTCAGTCCTCGTTGAGACACAAACGTAATTTAATACACACTACTACACCACGGTCAGTCACACAAAGTCCCCCAAATACAAAAGGGATTTTTAAATGCACCGGGGAACACGAGACAAACAATTGTGCATACTTAGATGATGACTCCAGGCTATACGCAGCGTGAAAATGGTAATTTAAACTTTGCTCACAGATTTTCTTGGGTAGATTTACATAATAATACAGTTCAATAACACGGCCAGTCACATAAAATCCATCAAAAGGGAACTGCCAAAGGGAAATGCCAAAACAGTACCATGATTTCACAACTTTCGAAATACGTTCGCTTTTATCGACGTCCACTGTACAACAGTTTAATGTCTTCCCGTTCACAAGAACACAAAGCCTAAACTATCAGAAATTCGTAACACATTTGTAAATTCAATCTATCGAAAAAGTATAAAAAGCATTTTTAT